GTCTTTCGATTTTTAAAGAATATCTGTGATCTAGTGGAATAAGGCTGAAAGAAGTAAAGGGAGAGACTGTTCCATTTCTGAAACATTGCCGAAAGCAACACTTTATTCCTGGAATTGACTATATGGAAAGTTTTTACTGGAATCTGTATTCTAGAGGAACACTCTGTGTAGCAAGCACAAGGCTAAATGTGTAGGGCAACTGTAAACATGTGGTCCACGCAAGTGGCAATGCTTCCTTTTTTAATTCTATTTGTTTGGACCCAAGCATGGGTGTCCTAATTTTATATCCAGCCTACAATTCAATGGGAGATTAGCTCAGCACTGATTGAAGATAGGTGGGAAACCATTATCTGTGTAATGATTGTTATTTTATATTTAGCTAAATATCCATGTATCATTGTACAGTGTGCAGAAATGCGACTTTTGTGTTATCCAAGGTGTATATTTTATAATGTGTGGTTTGCCATAAGTAAGTAACGTGAATGGAATGTTGCCAGAAGGTGAACGCTAATTATTTGGTGATGTGTCATATAGTAAATAGAAAGATGGGCACAGAGGAGCATTAGATACTGAAGTATGAAGGTGAAAAGTTTTTTTCCCATATAAAAACGTTCCACTGGCAAGATTAAAAAGACGTTGTTACACATCAAGTATGAATAAGCAATTTCTCGTGTTTTTATATTCTGTCTGATGGCTAAACATCAAACTGCGAAGCATTTTATATTTAGTGGTACAGTGGGGGCTCCCACAGTCACTACTGCACAGGAGATCCAGAAGTTTCAAAGGTCAAACGTACTACTGACTTTAAACTGCAATGGAGTTAAGAATTGTGCTTGGTACTTGGCACTAGGTGCAATCTGAGCAAAGCATTAAGGGAAATTATTATTTTCAACAATTATAATGCACCAACATATTTTGCAGTGCTTTAGAATTATAAAACGGGAGAAATTGATAGCATGTAACAGACACAATAGAACAGAGACAAGAGGTGAAGAAGGTTCTGCTCAAGAGGTGAAGAAGGTTCTTACAATCTATGAGGAATCTTTGAGGAAGGTGTGAAGAAACACAAGAGGTGTCAGAGGCTGGCATGGATTGATGGATAAGATCCAGCTAGTAAAATTGGTGTGTTGTGACATACTGTACATTGGGCTTTCATTACACTGTACCAGTTTGAGAAAGCTGAAAGTGATCTGGGCCTTGGAATACACATGATGGTGAGTGGGTTAAGAAATCTTTATATAGCATCATCCATATAGTTTGAAGGGAGGCTCTACAATGTTATAGTGCAAAGAGTAAGAGTAACCCTGAGCGTGAATCAAACCATTTTGAGTAGCTTGACTAAAACAAAGACTCTACCAGTGTTAATCCCCAGTTAGGCAGCAGGAAGATCCCTTACATATCAGCTGAGCAGTAGGCCAGGGGATAAGCATTCGGCCAGGTGCCATAGTTTTTATCAGATTATTCAAAGCAGTTTGACCAGCTGCGTGGAAGTCGCCCATAGATTCTTTGCACCATAATCAGTACAATAGAACTGTAGTGATTATGCTGCTTTGAATGCACTTTAAACTAGTTGGAATCAGGGCTGGGTTAACATTGAGGCAGATGGAGCTGCAGCTCCAGGCCCATGCCAATGGAATAGGCTCATTGGTTTAAAACTACTCTTCATATGCCCTTGCTTAAGTATGGAAACTTAAAAAGCATGTTATACTCCAATGTTCTACCCAAGAACAAGAATATTCATCTAGATCAATTTGTTTTAGTTTTAAGACTAACCTATTGTGAGGAACCGTATCAAATGCCATGGCAAAATCCAAGTAGATCACATCCACTGCAACACCCTGATCTATATTTCTACTTACTTCTTCGTAGAATGCAATTAGGTTAGTTTGACATGACCTATTTTCATAAAACCATGCTGATTATTGCTAATAAAGTTCTTCCCAATGAATTCCTGAATATTATCCCTTAATAGTCCTTCAATTATTTTCCCAGTAACAGAAGTTAAAGTCACAGGTCTATAATTTCCAGGCAAGGATTTTGAACCCTTTTTAAATATAGGAACGACATCTGCCTTCCTCCAATCCTCCGGTACAATACCTGAAACAAAAGAATCTTGAAATATTAAATGCTTTTGCTGCTTCAGTCTCCCTCTAACACTGTGGCATGTTCCCTTTCTTCTACACTCACTACATACACTTTTTCTCTTTCCCAGACTGTATAACAGGAGCTTCTACCTGCTAGTAAGAAGGTTAGGAGAGAAGTGGACCAGCTAATGCTTAGAAAGTGTAGAGCTAGTGCATCATTAGATGCATTTATGACAAACTTAGGGAGCTGTCTGCACAGAATGCCCTTGGTTGGTCATCCTGCATGATTGGCCGGCAGCCTGATGTGCATTCACGCCAGGCTGACCATCTAATTCTCAGTGTATATGTTCATATCCCAGATGTTCGTCATATAATTTGAATTCACCAACATAACTAAATTCCTCTATCTGAACATATAAATTACTCTTAGTTTGTTCCCCCTAGGACGTATGTTTTACAAATTTGATTATGGAAAAATGTTTTTTACATTGGTTGCAATGTGCTATACTTTCAGTCTGTATGTGTAAATGTTTGTGATTTAGTAGCATAAGTGATTTTTTTGTTGAAGCTGTCAAGTTTAATTTGAAATGCTTGAGTTACCTCAATTCCCAGGACAGGGTCAAACCTAGACTCAGATTTCCAGAATAACATTGGTCTATGTATTTCTTAATTTGATTATCAGAAATCCTTCCCTTGACTTTTATAAATTCACAATTTATAGGTCACTTTTCTTGCTCCTACAATTATCTTACCATTCAGTTCATCGAATAGTTAAATGTAATATACTAATTTATAGAAATAACTCAATTATAGCATTGGCATGTAAGAGCCAAAAGTAAGACTATTATGCTAAAAAGTGCATTAATATCAAGATGGCATTAACCCAGACACTATTGTTACCAAATCCCAAGGGGAGTACTAGGTTTCCAAATATTATCAGTACCAGACCACGCTGTTTCGTATTGGGGCAGTCCTGCTGCTAAATGTGGCTTTAATCCATAAAGCAGCCCTGTCTGTTATATCAACTAACTAGGGGCTAAGAACAAAAATTTATATTTAAAGCTGTGTATGATATTTCCCCCTGCAAACCGTACTCTTTAAACCAAAATTAGCCATACTCCTTGATTTATGTAGGCTACTTTGTACTTTATTAATTTTTAATGTACTTTAATCTTTTCTTTTTTATTACAAAGAAAAATAAGTTCTAAAATGTGTGAGTTATGGAGATAGCCAATGATTAAATCTAAAATGTCAAGTGAAGCCCTGATCTAACACTATAAGTATAAAACTTCACATTTTGTTCTGAGATTTAATTACTAAACACAGTATTGGGGGAACAAAGACATAGAGTGGCTGGGGAAGACAAAGAGACACACAGAGGGGCTCGGGGGACAAAGAGGCACACTGAAGAGCTGAGGAAAGAGAGAAAGAGACATACAAAGTAGCTGTTGGGCAAATAGGCACACAGAGAGGCTGGGGGAGACAAACAGAGGGACTGGGGGGACACAGAGTGGAAAGGTAAAAAGAGACCCACAGAGGGGTTGAGAAAGGGACAAAGAAACATACAGAGGGGCTGGGAAAAAGACACACAGGGGAGCTGGGGAAAGAAAGAAAGGGAGTAAGAGACACACCATGTAGTAAGCACTTTCACTGTGAATTTATATTACAAGTTATATTGATCTATATGACATTGTGTCTCTTACTTACAGTGTTTCTTGGCTAGTAACAAGCCATTTTCACGGGCTCACACATTGCCTAAAGCTTTGCACAACTCTACGGCTTGGCTATTGTTGAAATTAAATTCTGAATTGGTTATTGAACTTTGGAATAATTTGCTTCAGAGAGCTGGGCCACTATTTCATAATCCATTGGAAGGATCAAAATTTCCAACTTCTTTGCATTGCTGCGCTGTAAAAAGGAATAAATGTGGAAGTTATAATGTTATATGTGATGCTTCTTACATTGTTACAACACAATGGGAGGAAACAGGAAAATAATCTTCCTTCTCCTTTACCCTAGATATCTGTGTAACAGGGTTAAGGTTAGAACAGTGACCAGTTCCTTTGGATTGCGGATCAGCTAAGATGATGATCCCATAAAATCCCATTGTTATTACAAAAGAATAGGGCAATCCCAAAGAGTTTTCTTGTTTTGTGTTTTGTTTTTGGAATCGGAATATTACAGAAAAATAAATGTTTTGCAGGATTTAGCAAGTTTAAGCAACCAGTTAGTTTCTTGACCCCCTAAAGACCCGCAAACGTGTTCAGTGCAGAGTGTATTAGGGATAGATGCATGAATACAATTTAAATTCCCATTGTAGCACTGCCTGGTTTTCATACCCAGTGATCAGTCATGCCTCTAAAGACAAATAACAAAACCATCCAGTCTGATGGCAAGGCTAATCCTGAGCAAAGCAGACCGACCCTATTAATTGTGTTTCCCCAGTTCTTGCTACCATGTGCAAAACCCGACAATCCCAGAAAACGACCAGTAGAGCTCCCAGCAATCCCTACCTCATTTTATGTTTATACATTTTAACAAACAAATTCAAATGGCAAAATTTAGGTAGACATTTGGTTTCAATTTCCCACAGGTCGGACTTTATTTATAAGGACCATCTATTGTTCTCAATTCAGATTTAATGCCTACTTTGAACGAGTATAGAAATATTGTCCGTGCCATGGTCTTCCGTGTATATTAACAATTTCTACACTGATTTGATCTCATGGCTTGTGGCACAGTAACATTAGAGTCAATATCTTGCCAGCATTTCTTGTGGCAAGCAATCAAAAATGTCAAGAATCTGAGCTATGAATAAATTAGGTTGTGAAATAACCAGATGAATAAATGTATTTTAAATGTATTGTTGGCTCTACAAAGCTATTTTTATGCAATAAAGAAATAGTACATTCAGTGGTGGAACTAATGTGCACTAGGCTCCAGTGCAAGACATTTTATGGGACACCTCAACAGAGTCAGGGTAGCCAATAGATAGATCATCAACTCGTTTACAACTCTCATAATGTTTGGCCACATCCTTGTAGCAGTGTGTTTGTGTGTTTGGATGATGGACAGTATTTTTATGCGGTGTCAGTGTATTTCAATGCATTAGTTTATTTGCACCTTTCTGTTATTTGTCCATTTGAGACTCGATGTCTTTACTTTTGTGAACTCCCTGTTTAGTTGAAAATTTGTACTTTCTGAATACTCTCAAGCCTATACTTCATGTAGGATTCAGATGCGATAACACCCACTTTATTCTGAACACTAATTGTGTCTGGACGACTGTTGCAAATTCTCTTGGGCCAACCGAATTCTGACCGGTTTTGGACGGATATTTAGTAAATATGAGAATTACCAATGCGGTTGGAATTTGTTTGTTTTCAGTAATGTTTAGTGAATAACCCCTTATAGGATCTCTGCCAGTATTAGCTCAACTGGGCCCTTCGATAGGGGACTTCCTGGGAGCTGCTTCTGAGCCTTACATTGATAATAATCTTCCAGTTCAGCGGCATAATAACCTTAACATTCTTTTTAGCTTGGGGGTCACCACATTGCTTGCTCTGAATGCCAGTAGTTCTGGCTCTGAATGCATTGAGCAAAATGTAAAATAAAATAAAAAAGTTTCTTAAAGCCCTACTTTTACATTAAAAATGTGTAATAATGAAGCTGATATTGCATTTTACAATAAAAGGTAGTGCATTTTTTTTTGTTAACAGAAAAGGGATTCCACTAGAAGTAACCTAGAAGTTGAGAGATTGGCCAAATAAAGGGATGTTTTAGAGGTAAGTACTTTTTTATGCATTTGCATCTACAATGCATTTAAACTGTGAGTGTTAGATCTATTCTGTAATGTCAGTTTTTATAGTCTACAATCATCATTAGCAGATGTAGAGACTAAACATAAAATTAAGTTGCATGATACATTTATTATGAGACAAAAATACTGTCACAAATGAACAAGCTCTTAAAAGAACAAACAGTTTTTGAATTAAATAAACATCATTTTACTACAAAGGCAATAAACTTTTTGGCCAGACAGCTCTGTAAACAACAAGCCAAAACAAACATAACCCATATAAAAATCCCAAAAGGCAATAAAGTATTAAATCCTAAAGAGATAGTGGATTAATTTTCACGACATTGCAGAGATTTATGTAACCTTGAAAGACTATATGTCTTTCTTATCTCCGTGTCATTACCCTCTCTCTCCCAAATATCTACCACAAGTGCTACCAACATTCACATCAGAAGAAGTGGATCATCCATATCGTAACCCAAGCACTGATTCAGCTTCCTAACTTTAATTATAATGTTTTTATAAAAACCCAAATTCCCTGTCAAGTGGTTCTGTTAAGTTCTCTATCCACAAATTTGAGTTTCCTGTAAGATATCTATCATATGAAGCCCTTTATTCCCTGCAATATGAAACAAGGAGTTTATTGCTGGCCCATGCCCAGGGTACCTGTTCTTGGTTGGGGAGTGCAGATTCCATCCCAATAAAAACGTTATTGGAACCTATTGAGCTAAAACCACTTGCAAATCTAACAAAATCTTAATCTCCCACAAGGAGGGAGGAATTTAAACGTACTGACTGAGCTTCCATTACCTGATACATCGATGGATTCCAGTGTGGGCTGACACCTTGACATCTTTTCAATAAAATATATATATCAAATATTCAACTGCGCGAACTCTTAAGAAGGCAACTGTAAGCTCTTAACATAATAGCACACGACAATAGACCTGTTGCACAGAATTAACTCAGAACACGCTGACAACTGCAGGTTATATGCTGGCGCTCTAAGCATAGGCGTGTGCAAGGGGTGTGCCTGGGCACACCCTAATCCTGCGGCATGCCTATGGTGTGAGACCGGCATGGGAGATCTCAGGATCTCCCCTGTCGGCTCATGCAGAGCCGGCTCTATCCGAGCGCCGGCTCTGCTCCAAGCCTCCCTCCCCACAGCAGAATGGAGGGAGGCACACAGATCTCGCGAGAGTGAACTCTAGTCCCACAGGCTAGAGTTCACTCTCCACTGGACCACCAGGGATGGCAGCAGCACATAAGGTAAGAAGGGAGGGGGATATTAAGTAATGTACCCCTACCTCCACCCCCCACAATCACCCAAACACACAGCACCTACACACACACACACACACACACAGCACACAGCACCTACACACACACACACACACACACACCACCTACACACACAGCACCCACACACATATCACACATACACACACACACACACACACACACACAACACCTACACACACACACACACACACACACACATACAGCACCCAAACAGCACCCACACACATACAGCACCCCTCACACACACAGCACCCACACACACACAGCACCCACACACATAGCACCCACACACACACACAGCACCTACACACATACAGCACACACACACACAGCACACATACAGCACCCACACACATTCAGCACCCCCACACGAACACAGCACCCACAGCACCCTCTCACACAAAGCACACTAACAGGACCCTAACAAACACACACACAAACACCCTCACACACACACACACAGCACACAAACAGCACCCTTACACATACACAACACCATCAAACCACCCTCACACAGCACACACACACACACAGCAGTGTATGTATGTGTGTGTATATATATATATATATATATACACATACATATACACACGGCGTGTGTTTGTGCTTTAGGGTGCACACCCTAATGCAATAGGCTGCGCACGCCTATGGCTCTAAGCCTATCACTAGCTCTCAATTTAGAAAACATACCACGAGAAAAGGTATGTATTAGACTTCTGCACTGTGAAATTTTTTTTGCTCGGCTGGAGCATTTTACTCAAAAGTAGTAAATATTTCAGGACACCCAAATTTCGTCTGAATGTCAGTTCATCTGTGCAGAATTTCAGAACCGAGATTCCAACTTAAGAACTGAATCGGGGGGGCGGAGCTTACCTGCCAAGCAAAACAGACGTGCCTGCTAAGAGCTCCTGAGCCTGAGGCCAAGATTTGGGTTTTAACACCCGACCACCCGAGCGTACCAGCTGTGGACAGCGATAGTCCAGAACAGGAGGTGATGCTGCATCGGGGGATACCAAATATGAGACCCTCCGTGGCGGAATTGACCACATCGCAGCCTGCGGCCTACATGGGTGGGAGCCGAGGAGAGGCGGCCGCTCTCCCAGTTCTCTGGCTGAAGAGGGAGCAATCTCACATCGCCTCCCCCCCCCCATTGGACCAGTGGGGGATATCACGGTCCCTGCTGAGCTGGACGACCGCAGCCATGGACAAAGCAGAGGTAGCAGCGACACTCTCGGGCAGAATAAGAGCGGCGACACCCAAGATGGCGGACGCGCCTAACTCCACAACACGCGGCAAGCAAATAATGCAACCAGAGGCAGCAGGCCCTAACAGCAAAGCAACCGACAAAATCGAGGAGCTCTTTAACAAATTTTGGGCAAAGCTATCACGTAGAGCGAAGCAAACGGCATCCATCCAAAAGTTACCCACGGGCGAAAGTAGAAGCAGCGAGCTGAGGCGCGGGAAACCCCCGGAAGGCGAGAAGGTGTCCCAAGCTAATACAACAAGCAGAGGCTACCCACCAGGGCGGAGAGCGCAGAGGGTCCTAATCGGCAAGCACAAACTACCCCCAAGGAGGGCTGCAACATATACACAACAGCCTAAACCAAGAACGTGCAAGGTCCAACCAAACGGGAAGATCACAGACCCCAGAAGACACCAAGGTCACTACCAAGAGGTACCAACCCCTCCGAGACCCTGGGGCAGGACTGACAACTCGGTTACACATCACCACAATATTAGCCATTTCAACAGTGGCAGGGAACGGAGGAGTGCCTGCCAGAGTAGCCTCAACGGGACCCACCCGATGACAACTCTACATGGCACACCTACCATGGTCCACAAGCAGAGGTTTGGGATCAGCACACAGTCTCTCTTGCACCTGAGTGCCACACGCCTACCAGACAAAGAATCGGCCGGTCTGCGCTGGCTCACCTGCGGGATCGGATGATGGATGGCACCAAAGGCGGACTATGCCTATACAAGCTTAAGAGCGGTGATAAGGCATAACCTCACCGAGGCTGGTGCACTGTTCCCCTACTTATTGTTATCTCAGCTTGCTAATACAGTAGGCAAGGATAGACCAATTTACTTTAATTTTGTTAATTAGCCATTTTTTTTTTATTTATCTATGTTTCTCCCCTCGCAATACACTAGCAGAATGACAATCAACAAATGTTTTAATTGTGTATGGCTGGTACTTAAATGTTACTAACAAAATGTGCAGAACTTAAGTGCCAAATTGTGAATCTTGCCAGATATTTAGACATCTGCCTGACCACCCGGTGGAGCCTTGTTTCATGTAGATGTGGAGGCAGTAACACATCCTGTGTGTTTTTAAAATTTATGCTTTATGCCTTAGCCGATTTGCTTCAGACCCAATCTGTCTGCATGGTACCTAAACGTAAACGTGTGTCTCATAGTAAATACAATATTTAAGCATGTCATAATATAATGTTTAAGCATGTCCTCATATATATCATACATGACCTAACGCATTACTAGTTAAGCAAGATAGCATTGCAATCTCACTGTTGTTGTTTTAAAAATTTCACTAACCTTTTTGACGAGACATAACTAATCAAACTAGTATGCAACGAATTGTATTAATCGTTACTTAAATAACCCTAAAAATTGTGCATGTTTCTCCTAAACCCCAATGTAACATTGAAACGCTGGAGGATTGCCTTTGGGGTACCTTACAAGCGACTGTTACTTACCTATGCACTAAAAAAAAAAAATAGAACCGAATCAGAAGAACAAAAAAGGCACAAAATATGTCCCAATCAGTGTGCTGTAAAATACATACATAATATAATATAATACTATTTATATATCTTGTAGTACACTGCTAAGAGCATTTTCCTGCCAGAGAGAAAAACAGGAGGATCAGTAGCACCCCAACCCCCCATATTTATATATTATATATTTATTAAATCTATAGTAATATAGTTTTTTGTTTTACTGATTCTCCTTTTTTCCTTCTGTTGCCCACTTCTCACTTGATCCATGAATAAAATCATCAATTGGTT